TATGTATATAAATATATACACACATATTTTGTTCCTTTATTATTGATTAATTAAGATTACAGATTTTGTTAATGATGAGGCAGCAAAGACTTGCAATACACAATTTGCCAATGTTGAAAATATTTGCACATTATTATCACACAACTATCATGATACTATATAATATATAATAATTTTTAAAAATGAAAAAAAATAAAGAAATGTATCTGGTTCTGTTTAACATGATCTCTTAATTAAATAATACTTAACAATTATCCATAAGAACATTATATACATTCGTTTAAACATTATTCTTAAGACAAATATGTCATATCTTTTATTAGTGTTAATATACCACCATATGTGGCTTGAAGGCAATAGTATCGTTTTTTTTTTTCATATATTCATTCATTCATTCATTCATTCATTCTCTTTCTCCTTTTTCTTTTCTCTTATATATACTTTATATGTATCAATACATTTTTTATTTTTATTTATTTTGTTTTCCTCTCTAAGTTAGATCAAAGATTTGTATATATGTAATGTATTTGAAATAATGTAACAAACATGCATAAAATGCAACTGATAATTATAAACATGTTTACTTATTTATTTACATGAAACTTTCTTTGGAATAGAGTAATATGAATATATATATATACATTATTCTTAAAATTATATTATCAATTTGTGTGTGAAGCCTGCACATATACTACAATGTTTATGATTGATAGTACGATAGAAAATGTGCATACAAAAGAAAAAAAATTAATATTTTTTAGTTACAATGTACCTCTTCGTTCCAGATACATTTCTTTAATGTATACAAATAATAAAATACAATGTAAATAATTGTTTTTTTATTTACACATGCATACCACTAATCAATATTCTTATTTAAAAAGTTAATAAAAAATCAGAATGGTATAATGAAATAATTTTTTCTCTATATATGAGCTATTCATTTGCTAAATTGATTAACTCCACAAAGCAAAATATAGAGAATATTAATAAATGAATATATATCGTTGTATCATTTATTAATGAACGATCATCAAAATTGTTTTTATTTAATTCTTAATGGACCAATGCCACACACACACATACCACATATAAGCGGCATGGCACTTTTACTTACTGGCTCCAATGCCAATGCATATATTGTGACAAAAATCATTTTATTATTTTTATCACTCTTATTGTTGTAATATTTACAATTAATGCGTTAAATTTACAGAATTTGTAAATTCTATAAAAACTTGAAATACTTCTAGACCATTGAGAATTAATTGATTTTAAATATAAAAAGTTAAGTATTAATGAAGTGCCTTAATAATAAAATTTGAAAAAATGTTTAAAGTTGAGTTAATCGATTTGGCCTGCGAACAGCTCATATATAATTGTGATTGTACTTAACTAACATTATTAATGATTACCTTTGTTTATTTTATTGTACTTTGCAACTAAATTTTCATTTTACAGACACATTTACAATTTAATCTTAACATAGAATTATAAGTGTCATATACATGTATTATTTCATCTATACATTATTAATTTAAGATATTATCGCTAATTTCATATAAAAAATTATTTAACATTAACAAACATTTTTTTCAATTTATATCTCTGATATAGTAGTTTACATATTCTGAATATTTTTTTATAAATCTTAGTATTTGCACAGGCTTCTTGTTAATTGGATAATAATAATTTTTTTTTTTTTAATAGTGCAATGGGTATTAAATGTAATCATACTTTTCTTTTTTTTTGGTTTCAATATCAGAATCATCATTTGTAAATTTTGTATACTAACTGTAAAATACTGGCAGATTAAATGATGTAAAATACGCTCTTCTATCAGAGTCGAGAAAAGATCTACCCTTATAATTATGAGATAAACGTTCGATGGCAGGAAGAGCAGAATATTATTGTGTACATATGTTAATATTAAATATAAATGATCATAACGGCATGTGTATGTATATATAAGAGAATAAGTAATCAACGCTGATATTGAGAAATGCATGATTAAAGATATGAAAGAAAATTATACTAAACGGGTACATGTGTGTTAGTGATTATTAGCTTAATAATTATTCTTATTTTTGTGTGAAATTTTTTTTATAAAATATTATAAGATACAGATTCATATTACATGTACATATATTTTCGAAAATCTTAAACCATTAAGTTAGATGTTCTCAATAATATAATCTTTAATTGATTTGTTTATTAAATGAGCATGTACAATGTAAAAATCAAAATCTATAGTAATTTATATGACATTTTAATCTTGTGCGTATACTATGATATTATCATTCTTTTAATATTTTATTTTTATCGAAAAGAAAAAAAGTAGTATATTTTTTAAATGTATTCTAATGCAAACATAAGAAGTAAATATTTTATATGTATCTGATGAACTTTAAGACGCTTTCCAAAGAGTAATATGAATCGTATCTTAATAGTACCATACACCACTCCAGTAGTTTTTTGATAATTTTTCCATCAAATATAAGAATTTATTACCGAGCATTTACTGAAGTTGTAGATATCGTTATGTCATAGTTCGTAATGTAAATTAATAAGATTTAATAAAGCTATTTAAAAAGAAAACAAAAACAAAAAACCCAAAGACAATCAATTGCAAATATCGAGTTTATTTATACACTCTGCTTTCACTAAATAATTAACTTAGAACTTTTTTCTATGATTAGAATAATTAAGAGAATTAAAATAACATAGTAAGTAATATATATATATATATATTTGTATCCCACTTTTTTTTATGTAACTTAAGTCGATATTGTTACTAATATTCTCTTTCTTTTCATTTACGAATCCATTATATTCATTAATATTTCCGATTAATGTATCTTCTACATATATTTCTTTTTTAGTAAGCTGTACGTGCAGAATCATCTTTTCAGGATACAAGTACGTCGTATTATTACTCGCACACACATTGCACGCACATATATATGCGAGTATTTTAAAACTTGAGGATACAAACTAAAGCGAGAAAGAAAACTAAAGCAAAATGCTTATTTATGTATCTTATTTCTAAGTAAAAATAAACATATAAATGGAAAATATTTTCGTTCGCATAGAAATATACACATTTTCTACATTGAACTGTTAGAAAAATTATTGCCATTTAACTTTGAGTGAATTATATCATCAAGGATATTACTCTTCTCAATCAATAAAAAACAAAATGATTTACATTTTGTTACAAAGTTTATCTATTGCGTCAATTTTGGGATACTCCTCTTTTTTCTTTATATATATATATATTTTTTTTTTATTTATCCTTCTTTTTATCTTTATTATTTATTATTTTTATTCAAGGGAAATGAAATGTCT